AGCAGCTTCACTGGCTCCCCATCAAATCCCGTATCGTTTTTAAGATTCTGCTCCTCGCCTTTAAGGCCATCCATAACCTCACTCCTCTGTACCTCTCCGACCTCCTGCACATCAACACACCCATCCTCACTCTCAGGTCTTCTGCTTCCCTCCACCTCACTGCACCCCCCTTCCGTTTAACCACCATGGGGTCTGGAGCCTTCAGCCGCGCTGCACCCCGCCTCTGGAACTCCCTCCCACCTAACATCCGCAACACTGACTCCCCATTTTCAAATCACGTCTCAAAACACATCTCTTCAGACTCGCATATCCACCCTGATCATTATCCATCACACATCCTATGTTTTTATTATTTGATTGATTTATATACTGCATTGTCTTGTTTATGTTTTCTTATGCTGGTGTTATGTATTGTGTATCTTGTGTTGTAATGTGTTTGTACGGCGACCTTGAGAGCCTTGAAAGGCGACCTATATAAAATAAATGAATTATTATTATTATTAACTTTCAGTACACTTTAAAGGTGCCTTTTTAATCCCATTATAAGAAAGTTTATTGATTTGTTTTAAATAACTTTTTGACCTTTGAAAGTAGAGAACATGCCCCAGAGAGGATATCTCTCACCAGCATGAATAATGCCTGGAACAAACTCTGTGTTGACATAAGGTCTACTTCAAAAGCAAATGTTCATAATTACCATGGGGACACTGCAGCAAAATGTACAAGACACAAAAGATACCTAAGATGAATATATAATATCTATGGGAGGTACATTTTTTATTTATTTACACATTTACATAAAACAGGGACCTGTATAATTTACAATTACATTTGAAACTCTTATCCGATTGAACTTTTAATATGAAAACAACAACCAAATGACCTGTTGACAACATGTTTTTAGACTAAATTAGGATTATGGCAGATATTATATCAAGAACAAGAGATCAATATGGGCAAGAGAGATCTATAGACGGTTTAATAGAGGTTGTTGGAGCCTCTGTATGAAGTGTGCATTTTAACACACCTTTTTCCTAAAGCAGATTTGCTTTATTGACACTGTAAAAGTGTTTAATGTATCCACCTGTATAGTGTGGTATCATAAAAGCAGCATTATTTGTTGGGAGACGCTCTCCACTCTCTGCTCCCGTGTTGCTCATTAAATCTGTCCAAAACAGAGTGAGCGCTCTTGTTGTTGAAGTGTTTCTTGTTTTGTATGTTTCTGGGAAAACCAGCAGCAAGCGTCTTTGGGTTCAAGAAAAGCGCTATAGAAATAAAATATATTATTATTATTATAAGCAGCAGGATCACAGATCACAAGCTATCACAGATCACAAGCTGCCACATTTAAATAAACAGCAGGCTGCCATACCATGTTTATCAACCACTCTGACGTCTGTGCACCTCGTGCCTAATAAGTAAGAGACAGTGTGGAAAATAACTGATTTCTGCTCAATATTGTTACTTCAGCATATTTCGTTTTATAGTGAGGGAATAAGGGACTCGGAAAATGTGTTTTATGTATTAACAGGACTAAGAGTAATTTGCCACTCAATAAATTCCGCAAGGCAAGTTTATTTATAGAGCACATTTCAACAAGGCAATTCAAAGTGCTTTACAAAAAAACATGAAATAGTGCAAAAAGCTGTTAAAAGCTAGCTAAAATAAAACGAGACAGGTATAAAATACAAGAACACAAGTTTCAGTAAAGTGTAAGATATGAAAAGTTATTTCATTTAAGAAAACAAGGCTGTACATTACTGTACATTACAGACAAGCTCAAGACAAGCAGAAAAAAAGACGTTCTATTTAAGTCAGAGGTTAAAATATGAGCACACATTCAAAATATGTACATATATTAAAAAAGGACAAATAATACAAAATAAACACAAATAAAAGGGGGTAATTAAAAGCTGAGCTGTGTTTAAACTGTCCCCTGAGTTTGCCTCTAATGTTTCTTAGGGTGTTGGGGAGCGTAGTGATTATAGAGCCCTTTACATAAGTAGGCTACTGTAAAATATTCACTGATATGTACCGTAACTGTGTTGTTTAAGTGAATGAAATATCATACAGCCAGAATGAGTGAAAGAGGGAACAGTCATCGTTCAGCATATGTGAATGCACAGAGTGAGTCACTACTCAGCATTAATGTTACCGCAGTCTGCCGCTGCTGCAGCTGCTCCGCCATCAACGGTCAATTATAGTGAGGACAGTCATTTATTACTGAGGTAATGTAGTCTCCAGGAAGAGAGCGAGCGGCAGCAGCAGCCCCACACTTTAGCAGAGTGTATTTAACGTGCGTCACACAACCATTGAATACTGACGCAGTAATGAATGTGGGGCCGTCCTCAGAAAAATAACAGAGAAGTCAAATAAACAGAGGTCTTTGATGACTCTGTGGAGAGGGGGAAATTAATGTTTAAGATTTCATTGATGATTCATTAGACGAGTGTTTTTACTCATCAAGAGGCGTCCTGTTATAATATGCATAGCAAGTGGTTCATTTAATGAAAGCTGAACAATTTGGAAAAATAACTAGTTTCAATTATATTGACTAATTCACACTATCATTAACCATAAACATTTTCATTCAGTTTTTACAATACTGTTTGTAGGCTAGGACTTTATTACTTAAGATTTTCTATTTTTAACAAATATGGCGCTTACTGTGATTTGGATATGTCAGAAGTCTGCCTTGCGATTTCAAAAACACTTCAGTGAGTTGTGGTTCAGTCACACTGGTGAAGTTCAGCCATGGTTCTGAGGCCACCGAACCACATAGGCTTCAGTACTTAGTGTGGTGTGACCCCTGCTGGCTGAAGAGTGAACAGACCTGGTTTCTGCTTTATATTCATTTCTGTATTTCGCACCTTTAGGTTTGGATTATTTAAAGCTAATGTACTTGCAGGATTCTTGCTGTTCTGAATTGTTCCATTGTACATATCATGGGCTGCCTTGGATAAAAGCATCAGCTAAATGAAATGGAACTTAATGTAAGAAATATCAGAAATATTTTTGTTCCACTCTCACTCAGCTGTTAAAGGGGGATTCCTTTTGTCTGTGCCTTTCCAAAATGTTTGTGTAAAGTTTTATTTAATTTGTTATTCTAAGCTATTGTGATGCTAATGTGATGCTGGACTGCAAAGAAAAGAAACCTCAAAAACTCTATGAAGAGAGGAGACTGCACTCATCAAGTTGACCCAGTCCAGTGTGAAACTAAAAAGATCTGATAAAGTCCACGTTGAGAGTTTAGGAGTATTACGGGTCAGGTGTATACAGCACAGCGCTGTATCAGAGAACAATACTAACTGTACGTGTGCTCCACTGAGATTATCACAAATCATGTTTTTTTGATTTTCCAATCGCTGCTGGAAAGTAGAGCAGAACATAATATTTACGTACTGAAATGAAGGTACCACTTTACAATAAGACTACCCTTATAAAGGATTCATAAAGGGTTTATAACTAGGTTATTAATTAGTTTGTAAACGCTTTATTAATCATTAAGAACCATTTATAAACCAGTTCTAACATAGTTGTCATACATCAACACAGGCTCACTATTTGGCAAGATGACTAAGCCTTATATTGGCTACCTAGCGTACTTCGTCTTCTTCATCAACCAGCATCCTTGGTATCTGTTGTTCACTGAGTTGATTCTCCCCCATCCATCTTGATGTTTCTTGGCATCTCTTTATGACCATTTATTTACGAGTTACTAACAGTTATAGTTGCCAAAAGGGAGCCTTATTGTAAAACACATTCCCATGTATTAATGAGTTATACCGTTTCGAATAAGGCTTAGCAGTACAGATACATGTGAGCTCACTATTTGGCAAGCAACCGGTCACAGTTGCCCTGTTTATCTCATGTCTTATAAAAGCTTATTAAGGATTTATAAAGTGTTCACAACCTAATTAATAAATGAATTACAAACTATTCGTAAACCCTTTATAAGGGTAGTCTCAGAGGCTCTGGGTAGTCTTATTGTAAAGTGGTACCGAAATGAACATGTCATTGAAGTGGAGGCCTGTCATTCATGCAATCTGGTTTAATCTAATCAAGTTATTTCACTGTATAACTCATCTAACCTTAATTAATTTGTGCTTAGTGGTTTAATATTTCTTATTTAAGGAATATAATCAATGAAATAACCTCCCTACTTGAGCTTTAGGATGTTAAATGTCCTTTTGAAATGGTTATCGTTCATATTACTATTATTTGTTCTTTTGTTATATATTTATTTAAATGACTAACTTTGAGAGCAGGTGGGATTTTTTTTTTTTACCAACATTCAATATACCTCTTCGCCCCACTAAGATACTGTAGCCTGCATATTGTGGATTAAGTCACACCAGTGCAAAGACTACGCACAAAACGCAGTCCTCAAAAAAAGCTATTCAGTTTTGGGAATGAAATGGCAGGAAGAGGATTTTAAATAGAGCATAACGTTTTAAGATCGATGTACACTGAATCAACAGGTAGATGAGAAAAGCACTTCTTTCTGCTCTGGTTTCTAGATAAAACTGATGTACAAACCAAACTGCTCTTTCGCCTTTTAACTTGCCTCATCACAAACTTTACAACGTTTTTCATCATCTCTGTGCGTAATGACTTCAGAAAGCTTTGCAAGTTCTGCCTCATATTGTCATTATAGCGCTGTCTTGGATGTCTGTTATGATGAAAATGTGCTGTTGTGTAAACACCCTTCTTTTTGTCTCGCTCACCCAAAACTTCCTCTGTAGTTTTTCAGAACTTCAGAGGAAGTACACAATCTGCATACCCCACAGTGACTCTGTCTTAGATGAGTGAACAACGACCTGTTTCCCAACTTCCTCTGTGCTGCTGCCAACATTCCTGGAGTTTATTAGTGAAAAATGGGCTATTAACATGGAAAATCTGTGAAATGGGGCCAATATCAGGGTGTGTGTTCCTAGACAGGTGCATGATGGGAGATCTTACTTGGTTGTACACATTTCTTTAACAGAAAGACTTAAAGACAACTTTATTTGTTTTTAATAGTTGTGAGAGAATGTGAAGGATATATTACAACAATCTTTACACAAAAAATAAATAAAATATACAACTTATATTAAGGGTCACTCCATCTTTACAGCCCTCCTGATATGAGCAGAAGCCGAGACTCTTCCGCTACACTCAGAAGTCACAATGTACAGTAAAAAAAACAATGACAAATGGCTTTTCCTGAATGACGGGTGTTCTTGCATCATTGAGTGCATGCAACTCAGCCCTGGAGATCAGCTTGTGAATGCACTCTGGTTTCCTGCCCGCGGTAACTTGAACTGTTGGCGGGGAGCGAGGATGTGGAGCATCAGCTGTCGTCATGTGACTGCAGGTACACCGGCTTGGCCTGCTTCCTCAGGCGCTGCTGCGCTCGCAGCTTCCTGCCTTTCTGAGTTGCCAGTCCCAGCGGAGGCAGGTGCATCTACAGGAACATTCAGAGAACAAAATAACTGTAAGAAACACCGATGGAAAAACACAGATGGAAAAACATCCACATTGTCCAGTGAAAGGTGTATTACTTACAGCCCTTGGATATGGGTTCCTGTAATGTAGACCTGGGAAAATAAATGATTGTGTTAGTCACTCTTCTAAAGCAAGAACACTTTCTGTCCTGCAGATGATTGATTTTTGGCAATGATTGGCACTTTATTTTTGATGCATTTCTATTTTTTGTGCATGAACCAGGAAAATGACCTGTGTAAACACCATAGGCCAAAAAAGAAATGATAGCTAAATATAATTAAATTCATGATTTTATAATGGACTGTACTTATATAGCGCTTTATCCAGTCTTTACGACCCCTCAAAGCGCTTTACATACTACATGTCATTCACCCATTCACACCCATTCATACAGAGCAGTACCACTTGCTCTGGGACCTAACATTCACACACATTCACACACCGTTGGCCATGCCATCGGGAGCAACTCAGGGTTAAGTATCTTGCCCAAGGATACATCGACATGTTGGCTGCACGGGCTGGGATCGAACCCACAACCTTCTGGTTGAAAGACGGCCACACTCCCTCGCAGCCACAGTCGCAATGTTGTTTTAAATTCAATGGGTTTTGCTACATTGTTGTCCTAAGAGTATGTATGTGGGCAACACAGTTAACTGTAGAATGATCACAGAAGCTGAGGTTGAACACAACATGTATGGCACAATAACAGAAGCCAAAAAAGCCACATGGGTAAAAAACCCTGCACATGCTGTTGGATGTCAAACAAACACAAGAACAGTATGTCAATGTTTACTCCTCTGCTCTCTCCTCTGAAACACCTTCAGTTGAACTTTCTGAGTTACTTAGTGACAAACACTTCAATTAAATATGTTATATGAGCTACAGTAGACCCCTGGAATAAATGGTGAACCAAAAAAATGACTGGTCATGCTAACATTAAAGCATTTTAGGTTGAGTGTGAAAGGGAAAGCATGTTAGTGGCTTGCAGTTGATAGATAGAAAACATGTAAGGGAATGTGTGGCATCTCTTCACTCTTACCCATTTCTATCCTTGCTTCACATTCTTCTACACACCTCTTTATTGTTTCTGGATCTGTGAGCTGAGAAGAAGAAGCACACAGAAGAAAAAAAACGAGTCCCACAAACTGCTATAAAACGACTTCCTGTTTTCATTTCTGCCATCAGCAAACTGTTATACACACCTGCTGGTTCTGTCTGAACAGAGTGGAGGCCTCATGGAGAATGTATTTCTTCTCTGTTTCTGTGTCACCTACAACTCCAATCTCTGCCTGCCAGCTTCTTGCGATGCGAAACACCCGCATGTACAGAGACAACACCGTCCTGCGAGTGGAGGCTGTCATCGAGACAACAAGTCACAGCAGTCACCTGCACAAGAAAGAGATTCAGATTTACAGAATAATTAATGGGATTACAAATCCTATTACTGTTGTACTGTGTGTATACAAACACAATTCCTACCTATTATATTTTGTAAACAATGTTGAAGGCATTACAACAATGATTACACACTTGTCTGTAAATATACCAAGTATTTTTGTTAAATTGTCTGTACTTACCAAAACTGTATACAAAATGCCTCTAGTTTTGGATACAACTTGCTGGATATCCCTAACTCACGGCTAATTTACCTTAGAAAATACCTTTTGGATGCCTAAGGGACACATGCAAGTTCACATAAACTGTTGTTCACACAGGAGACTTAACAAGGTCCTAGGAAATGTGCAAAAAGACCAGGAAATCAACCAGTATTATGCCGAAAAATGTCAAACTAGCCTAGGTTTTTCAGGCCTATCTGAGTTTGTTTCTTCTTCATATGATTGGTGTGAATATAACAAATAAAAATGAAAACACAGTTGTGTACAAGAAAGTTCTACAAGACAAGCTAATAATCCAAGAAGTTGGGTCATTTGGGGCCACAGGAAGTCTGGACAGGTTTTACATTAATCAACACTAGATGTCACTAAAACCAACCCAGGGCTGTTTAGCAAACAGCATATTACATGACTGGTAGGGTATTAATCGGATATTCTGATATGTGTTGATAGAAAGAATAATGCCATTAGCGCATTTGTCATAGGCATTGGTATTAATACAGGTTTCCCAAACAGAAAACAAGAACAAAAAGGAGCTAGCTATCCTTGAGAATGACAGCTTCTAAAGACACATGTTGTTAATAATAAATATAGAATTAACAGCAAGTGCCATTCACATTAATAACGATTTACGTTATAGGTTATTAGGTTTAAATATACAAACCTTGACCAAGAACTCTATTTGGTGAAGAGGCTACTTCGACAGTAGCTTGTAGGACAGCAAAAACACATTTGTCGCCTGGTGATGACGTATTCCCCGAACTACAAGAAAAAAAACACAAGATAAACGAGTGCCTCTTCTTTTCATTTAGATACAATTGGATATGTTAATACCAATTAAAGTACTAGCATTAACTGAATATTTCATATGTAAAGACCCAGCTGAAGCCATGTGTTACAAATGTTGTTTGTTAACACATTTTACAGAATTAAATACAATTATTTCAAGGCTCTCTGTTAAATACCAATAAAACACGAGTGTCACTAATTGATTTCGTGGTAATTTTCCCATCTGGGTGTTATGCAGTATTTCAAAGTACAAGTTATTTATATTTATAGACCCATATAAACGCATGTGTTACAAATGTTGTTGTTTTTACTCATTTTACAGTGTTAAATATACTACTTTAAAGGCTTTCTGTTAAATATCATCAACAAAACACAAAAAAAACACAAATTGATTTCCTCAAAAATTGCTCCATCTGGGTGTTATGCAGGATTTCAAATTACATGACATTAATATATATATATTGATCTTGCCATCGGCTGAGATGAGGATCAGCTGTTGGCTGCTTGTCGGCAGGGAGGAAGTGATGCAGGAAAATGCCCACAATGTAGCTACACTCAATGACTAAAAGGGGGAAGCACAAAGAAATGGGCTGCTTTTAATACCGAGATGGTCCTTTAACTCACTCCAAAGAGCGACCACAATTCAACAGGGAATCAAAAGCACAAAGTGGTTACTAGCGTTCCACTTATTTATTTTTGTAAAGCGGATTTTATATCGATGAGGAAGTTTTTTGTCATCTACTTGCTACATTTAGCTAGCAATCTGAGTTAACGCGACGAGTTTGCCACAGTTCGTTTCTACGCTACATTGGACAACTTAACTTCATTTGTACTGGCGTCCGTGAAGTGATGTACCTCCATTTCCACACCCTACAATATCCCCAAAAGGTGAGTTTCTTTGGTGTTTTTATGTGTCCCTAATCGGAAGACCTAGCTTAGCCGATAGCTAACTTTTAGTTGATGCTAGCTAGCTATGGCGACGTCGTCAGGGCCAGCAGGCAGTGGCATGTAAATGGCCCTGTGCCGGTGATGTCTGATGAAAATAAAACACCTTTATGACAAGTAATATTTGAATTACGATATAAATCACATTTCCGGGATAAAATGGTTATCGTATCCTCTTTACATGATATCTGTGAGTGTTTCGTATAAGCTCACTTGGTCCTGTTTGTGCTCGCCACTTCCCTACAAACATAACTTGGTTAAAAAAAAACATGAATGATAGCTAACATTTGATACCATCAGCTATCTAACTTAACCGAGGCTGTGGTTTGACAAATGTGTTGCACACATTCGTACTATGGTTTAGTTGTCCTTCAATTTTGGCATAAACAATCTACTTAACCTATTTAAACTGATGTCTGCTACTGTCTGTCTTTTATATAGTATGCTTAGCTTTAACAATCATTAGTATTGTATTGGAAAATAGGCCTTTAGGTGTCAATTAGAGGTGTGTTTGGTGAAGTCAGCCAGGATGTGCCAGTGAGACCTTTGCCTCGACATGCCCAGTCCCATGAGCAGGACACTCGATTGGCTCTGATACTGAATACACTTTTTTATTATTAATGTTAGCAGTGATCACTACACTACATTAGTTTTCAAAGTAACCGTCCACATCAGAGTTGTAACACTTTTAGGACAAAGCCAGTCTACCCTGTGTGAGGTCTGTCCCCTTATATGACTTATTCTCAACCAGAGTTGCGAAAGCTCCTTTTGCCATCTTCTCTTTAGGTATAGAAGCCAGTAATTAAATAATCTTGCAATGAGACAAACTGTTTTGCTCAAAGTACTTTTTCATTGCATGTTGGTAAAAATAGTCCTGCAGGTTTGGGAGAGATGCGATCACTTTCTGCTTATGATGACAAGATAATGTGTCTTTTCAGCATTGCGGATGTCAAGGTCACAATGATGGAGCAGAATAGAAACACGCTTTGGCCAATGCCTTCAGAGGGATTGTCTGTAAGTTACTTCCTGATCAGCTTTCGTGATAAGTGATCAAACACTTGATTTACTCACACATGTCATGTGTTTTAAATGTCATAGGAGAATGATTAGCTGCATCAGAAGAGAGATATTGCATTTCATGTTGTGTTAGTTTGATTTCTTAAACACATTTACACATTACTCAGTCAATAATGCATGAATGTGCTGTGGAAAGAGGCACACATCAAGCTATCATGGTTATTTTTAAAGAGGAATCGGATTTAAATTGTATTTGTGCCTCCAAATGAATCACCATTAGGTCCATGTCAAAATTACAAGCGCTGTAAAATGGCTTTGAAAAATGTTTTATTAGCAACCATAATAGTTCCTCAGTCTTGGTCAATGGTTACTATTTTAGAACATTTTGATTTTGTGTGATTGCATTTTTAATCTGTATTTACTTGAATGTACTGCCTGTTGAACAACCCGGTAAAACTCTCTCTTAACTCCCCTGATACAAGCAAAGATAAACACGTAATTTATGGCTTTATTGCATACAATTAAAGTAGAATGAAATGCAATAAAGCTTATTCATTACAAAATAAGTTGACATGTTGACACTGGGGAAACCCAAAGTCTTGTAGTAGCTCTTTGTTCAACATCAAACCATTTCGACCTCAGCAGGATTCTGGGGTCATGTTTTCCTTGTAGTTCCTGTGTAGAGGTTCCTGTTGTATCTGTGTAAGCATTGGATGTATACAATGTTGTCTCTCTGTGCTTTATCCTTTAGGGTTTTTAAGTTTGGCAGTGGATCTCGGCAGATTTGGCACAGGTATGGTAACTTCTTTAACTCCAATGCTCAGAAATCTTCGAGTTTGATTTCATGCTACTAATAGCCACATAAATGTGGATCTTGACCTTTTAGACTGTGATCAAGTCTAGAGCTGCACTGTATGGCAATGAACATTTTTTAATTGTTCTTCACCTCAGACCTGAGGGTATGTTGAGACGTCTCGCAGGGCCAGAGAAGAGGCGTCTAGGTGCTTCAGACTGGGACTGAAGGTGAGGAGGAAAGAGAGACCAGGGAGGAAGACATGGGTCAGTGTGTCACCAAGTGTAAGAACCCCACGTCCTCGCTCGGCAGTAAGAGTGGAGACAAGGAGGGGGGATCCAAGTCCCACCACAAGAAAGGAGGCGGTGGTCACAAAGAGGAGCAACATGCCCCGTGTAGCAAAGCCATCGGCGAGTTGTCGAATGGCACCAAGGCCCTGGAGGTCACAATGGAGACCCCCGTCATCTCTGCAGTGATGGGGGAGCCACACAAGGACATGGGTCTGGATGGGGATGGGCTGTCGATGCTGCGCATTGAGGAGCTGTTCTACTGCTACAAGGATGAACATGAAGACGCCATCCTGGAGGAAGGCATGGAGATGTTTTGTATCGACCTGTGTGTGGACCCGGCGGAGTTCAGAGTGCTCGTTCTTGCCTGGAAGTTTCAAGCCGCAACCATGTGCAAGTTTACAAGGTAAGGTGGGGTTTTGGGGAATGAGGCGTGTTGTTTTTCATGGCGTCTGTTTATCAGGAGGAACTGGCATAACTACTGCACAGCTAGTTACTAGGAGATATGACAAAGGTATTTCCTCATCCCAGATGATTAATACAAATAGTTTCAATAGTGCTCGCCCTGATTCCATTACCAAACAAGATGCTCTTGTAAAGGTATTTGAGCAATTCTCAGTGTGTGCCACATTGTGGTTACAAAGAATAATAGATTTATTAATGAACAGATGGAAAGTTACATTTTTTATTATCTCGTCATTTTACACTCACACACAGGACATACAGTATGCAGTTAGAGAGATGTTGGAGTGACCGGGCTGCTAATGTGTGAAACTATGTAGCTTTCTTTGTGCCTGCCTTGGCCAGGTCTCTTAAAAAATGTATTCATCTGCAGTGGACTCTCCTTGTGGGATAAAATGTAAACAAAATGTTCAATATATATGTTCATTTTAATTCATTTCTTATTTTTTGGTTATTTTATCATTTTGAATTTGTATCTTTAATTGTATTAATCTGTGTGAATCTGTGCTGTTTTTCATCCTTAGCCTGTTGCTGTTAAACTACTGAATTTCCCCACGGGGATCAATAAAGCTCCATCTTATCTTATCTATAAATAGCTGTAATGAATAGCGCACCTGTACAGACAATGACAACTTAAATGACAACATTATGCCCTTTTTAAAATCCTATCGCTATCAAAAAGAAATGAGATGCACAAAATATATATATAAAAAAATAGATGTATAAGATATCTAATTTGGAGTTTAGCTGATCTAAAATATACCAAATCCATATAGTTTCTAATATTGACCCATTTTATCAGGCAACTGTTTTCTGATGCCACCAAGGCATCGTGCCCCACTAATAACTAGCTTGATGTTGGAGGATTACACTTGTAGCCTCAGAAGAGACTTCCCCTCGGTGCCTTGTTGGACTCATTCAGTCATTCACTGTGCAGCGGCCCATCCATAAACACTTTTCTCATAGACAGAACTAGATACAAACTCACACAAAACATTTCCCACAGTCAGGTAGGGGGGCACACAGGAAAGGGACCCTGCTCTGCTGCCCCTCTGCAGTTAGTGATTGAGATGAATAGGGCAGCTGGTCACTGCCCCACATGATTTTTAACTCAGCACTTTCCATCCAGAGGCTTTTGACAGCTCCACACTCTGGTTATCAGCATGCTTCATTGTCGACTAATGCTTACTGAAGCTGTTCAAAATATGACTTTGAAAGCCTATATTTCTCTAGGGCTCAAATAACAAATTCTATAAAGAAAAAAACATTTTTAAAGCTCAGTTTTTTAAAGGAGTACTCAACATATCTCTAAAAGTTAAGTGATGTTCTAGTTTCCCTCTATCACTATGCTTGAAATTTAAAAACCAAAACGTACAACAGGAAACGTAAACAATCAAATTATAAATTGTTCTCATTGTATTCAGATGGTAACTATGTTTAGTTGTTTTAGACACATGGCCCTTATGTTTACAATCGATGACTTCACAATATTTGATTGTAGCTCTTGGTAAATGAAGCTACTAGTCAGCTCTGGTTCTGCTCATTTAGTTTTGTTATTTGCCCCTAGGTTTTATTATCCTGAGTGAAAAGGTCTGCTTTTATTCTGATGCCTGGTCTTGTTTACTTTGTGTCACCAGGAAGGAGTTTATCGACGGCTGCAAGGCCATAAAGGCAGACAGCCTTGAGGGCATCTGCTTAAGTTTCCCCGTCATGCTGCTGGACGCCAAGGGCGAGGAGAACTTCAAGGACCTGTACCGCTTCACGTTCCAGTTTGGCCTGGATGCTGACGAAGGCCAACGCTCGCTGCAGCGCGATATCGCCATCGCCCTGTGGCGCCTGGTATTCACCCAGAACTCTCCTGCTATCCTGGAACACTGGCTGGACTTCCTGTCGGAGAACCCCTCGAGTATTCGGGGCATCTCAAGGGACACGTGGAACATGTTCCTCAACTTTACCCAGGCTATCGGGCCCGACCTGAGCAACTACAGCGAGGAGGAGGCGTGGCCCAGCCTCTTCGACACCTTCGTGGAGTGGGAGTTGGAGCGCAGGAAAAAGGAGGAGGAACAGATGGCTAAGGAGGAAGAGGGGAGGTGTACTGACTCAGAGTGTTCTCCCACTACAGACAGACTTGAAACAGAGGGAAGCCGCGGCTCACAGACGTGGGGGGGCCACTGACCAGGAATCAAGAAATATGTGCAAGGGAGGGAAGGATGTGACCTACACGTGAACTGTACATCTGTGAATCATCGGATGAATATTAGTATTACCATGACAGCTGTTCATTTCGCTCTCCTTTTCTGTCGGGATGGGATTCCTGCTTTGCACCCTTTATCTTTTTTGGTTTTCAAAAGGGCTCTCAGAACTGTTATGTTTTAAGCACTTCTATTTAAGTTATTGTTTTACATATTTTCTCCTCCCATTTGTGTTTTTAGTAATTGGACGCGGGTCCGTTTAAACCTCCACCTACGTACCATAACCCAGCAGAGTTAGATCCGTTAAAAATCAGGCAAAAGAAAGCCATAACTTCTCACAATGATCATATAGACAGTTCCTCTGGACCTGGTAACACTGCTGATATGTTTTGTACAAGGAAATAGTACATAATAAAAAAGGGAATTTTTGGGCGAATTTATCACAAATAATTTCTTACTATCAAAACATGAGGTTTACCATAAGGGTCAGTGGAATCGTCTTGATCGGACTAATCTTTGTTAGATTGTATGCGTTTATCTTGCAGTGCTGTGAGGATGAATTGGTGCACTTGTAACTTGCCTTCACAAATGCATGCTTGCAATTACACAGCAAGCAGTAATGGATTCAATTCTGTCCCAAGGGCTTTTTTTTTTTTAAACAAAGTTGAAATTTCCATTTAATATCCAAGTTGGTAACAGACCCACCCTTTCTTCTGTGTTGAGTGTTTTGGAGTGCTACCAGTACGGTGAGGGCTGAGCTTGTTGAAGCAGCTGGCTGCGCTCTCTTTTGACCTCCAGCATTACCTATTTGATGTCCACCTATTTTCAAGAAGGGTTAGGTATAAAACACAATGTTCCGGCTTTCCTAAGATTCCTCATTTTAGGAAGTTGGTAACGCATCAAATCAGCTTAAAGAAGGTCTTGGTCATTTCTTAGAAAATGATGCCTAAACCTGAGTTCATGGCCTGACACTGGGCGCCACACAACGTTTATTTAGTTTCCCTTGAGGAGTTTAACAGTCTTCACATCTTTGAACTGATAACAAAAAAAAACGTGTGCACACTTCACAAATGTCGACTGCTGCTGGTGTTGGATTGCACAAAAAACGAATGGCATGCTTAGTCGCTATACTTGCAACGCTTTGCAAGAAGATTGATGTCAACCACATCATTTACATTTAAACCTTTTCCAAACCGTAGATCGAGCTCAAGTTTAGACCTGTGTGTTTTGGGATGAGTGAATGAGTGATAACAGCACCTGCTGGCTAATCAAGAGTCTGTGGTAAGAGGGTGGCACATAACCTGATCTGTTTGGTTTACATCTACAATGATTTTATTTCAGACCCCCTTTGTCCTTTTTTATATAAAATGTATTGATTTATAATGAATAAAAACAGTGTTGAACTTTTGACTGTTGCACCATGGACATCTGTGTGATTTTACTTCAAGGATATTTATTTGTAATCCTATGGTATGCTAATGCTGAATAACATTTGCATGTTATTGAAGCAGTGTGGTTTTGTAGCAGAGGGTTTTGTAGAGGCTTGTCTGCATGCCAGAGCAACAGTGAAAAAGCTTATGGGGTTGGGGGCGTGGCTTACACTGATGCGGATCTTCCCATTGGTGGACATCTATCCTGGTTACCAACCAACACTACTCACTGGGCACATGAGAAAACAGAAAAACTCGTTTATTACAAAGCTAATGGCTGACAAAGTACCGTTATTACACGGACAGTAAGTCGTTCTCTAATATTTATTGGAACTAGAGGAAAATGTATGCGATAATATGAGCGCAGAAGCCTGTGTTTGTGTCATTTTATGTTGACTGGATACATGCTAATGCTAACTGCTGTAACTCAGTTTGTTGTTAGCATCAATGCTAACCAAGCTATGTTAACGTTCTCTGCTACAACGCCAGGAGTTCATTTGGAAATAGGCCGAAAAATGCTATTATTGTAGTGTTAAAACTGCAAAAAATGCCTAGCATGTTAGCTGTAAATGCCATTGAAATTAATATAACGTTTGTTGGCAAATAATATGTGACTGTTCTGCTGAATGTTCTTGCGGGTGGGGCGACATTTTAAACGCATTGAAGGTAATTGAGGTTTTATGTGACAGGTAACCTTGGGGTTATCCTCATCTGTGTTCCCTCTACAGCGGTGATCAAACGCTACACAGATTTTAATGATATTATTGGAGAAGCACCGGCCCGCTGCAAAATATGGGATAGGGTTAAGTGAAGAGCATCATCTGCAGCCACACAATGGATAACGAGGTAAGCAAGGACCGTTTTATGTAACCACTCATGTGCTCTGGTTCACATCATCTGTCATTTTACTCCAAGAAGCTTTCTATTACAGCAACCTTGCATGCCATGTTTACAGCAGTTCCCCCTCTTGTTTCTCTATTCTGTCACTAACAAGTGCTCTATTCTTCCTTCAATTTTCTTTGCTTCTCTTTTCCTGATTTTGACAGATCCTGTAGCCTAGTTGACTTGTAAGGGTTTTGTGATTTCTTTGTTCGTCTTGCATGATGGTTTTTAAAAGAAATACATGGAATGGCATGAGCTGTAGGTGACTGTTATGCAGACAACAATGTTGGCACATTTTGTCCAAATGACCACTGGTTATGGATCAAGGCTAATGTGATTTAAGACTTGTTCTTTTAATCTGGATGATTTCATAATAACCGAGTCCAGTATTCCCTAAACACAATTCTTATTGTCTTGTAAATCGTGGCTTTTATACACAAATGGTCAGTTTTTCATCTATCTGTAGTTACATGATATTTTAAGTAGTTTACATCGTAGTGTTGTGACATGTATTTCAAATGCTAGTTTGTGTGTAAGGGCTATAACTTCTTTATATTTCAATGACACATAATTGCAATATGTATCGGCTCTTGTCACTTTGTAACCACTGCTTTGCTCGCACCTAGTGAGAACAGGGTAGCATCGACTTTAAATGAAGAGCATGCATTTGACAGGGCGGTGGCATGAATTCATAAAAGTGTTGGAGTTACTCCACAGGGATTATGCCCCGTGCTGAGTCAGTACTTTCCCACTGTGTGTGCATATTTTTCATCCTTTAGCCTTTTGCTGTGATCACTATTTGCCACATCATCTCAACATGTAAAGTCTGCATGCCTTTAGAGTTAACTAAATATAGTTGTGATCAGGTCAGGACTCCCTGGAAGAAGAGATCTTGTATCTCAATGGGACATTCCTGGATAAATAAAGGATAAATAAAAAATCCCAAAACCGTCATTGTCTTAGGATGTTAACACAAATAACTATCTCAATCAGCCAACGCTTGAATCATCATGAGGCAAATGGATGACTGTATAAAGATCGATTCACCTGAGCTCCAGCAGTGTTAATGTATTATCAGTTCTTGTTGAGGGCCTGTAAGAAAACGTTGTATTTATATCTCATTTTAAACCTCACACTGACACTGACACCAAAGGCCCTAACACATTGCAAGTTACATAACTCTGTGTTGTCTATCTGCCATGCTCCGTTCTCGTCACATTGCATGTGCTGTGTTGATGCTTTATTTACTGACCGGGGGAGCAAGTTGTTTGCTTAGAATGTTCCATACAGAATAAAGTGGATATTGATTGTAGTCGGTGATCGTGAGTACTCGTGAAACAATGGAGTGTTTTGTGTCTGTTCTTTTCATCAAATAGCTGATGCAGGATGTTCTGACTCTGCATTGTGTGTGTTTGTGTACTCATGCTGGTTTTCTTTAAGGAGAGTCAGACATGCCAAGGAGAGAAGCAAGCCTCGGCTGTGGACGACACCCTGGATGAATATTTAATCTCCCTCCAGCAGAAAAACAGGTGAAGTGTGAGCATCGGCTGCTGGCGAGAGACAGATTGGATTTCACAGAGGAGACACACAACTGCTCTATTCCTATCACTGATGCTTAATAGGAGCACTGATTGGTCCCTTCCTTAATTGAGATCAACTCAATTAGTTTGTAAAATGTGGGATGGATGTCAGAATACCTTGAAAATGTCTCAAGTCTTCCTGTGAGTCTTGAAATGAGACCATAGCCCTCTCAAATATGTTATCTTTACTTTTAATTGTAGACGTAGAGACCATTTTTCTTTGCTTCTCAGGATCCTTAAGCGCCTTAAAGTCAAAGACCCCAGGCAGATTGAGTTGGAACAGCTCGAGCAAGGTTTTTCCATTTATCTTAACGGAGCCAATGCTGAAGCCAAGGCGAAGCAGACAAAGAGCTCCAACCACAAGTCTGTCACCTCCACACCCGCCTGGAGGCCTGCACGGGCAGCAGGTACCAAAATAAACCCACACTCAAAAGTAAAAAGCCTTATATAAGACCTCATTATTTTTGAACCGCCATTGTGCAGGGGGGGGAATTCTTCTTCTTCGTTTTTTTAGCCTTGTCTTTATCAATTTCCATCAGTAAAGACACACAAAAAATGCAAAGAATGTATCAATTAAATACAAAAGACAGTCTGACATGGCATCACCTAAATAATACAGTTAATACAAATACAAACACAGTGATAATTATAACATTTATAAATAAAACATTCAAAAATAATAACACTTCCTACTCTTCAAGGCCTCAGTCATAATTTAATTTGCCATCAAATGCATTAAAGGTTCCCAGAGGAATTAAAGGCCTTCTGTTTTCCTTTGCTAATATTCTTCCTGAGTCATTTTTACACTGTAACGTAAGGCCACATCATGCTACTAATACACACATTTCTGTTGCTTCTGTCATCTCTAGAGCATATGGAGTGTGAGTTAATAGCCACCACTTCTCTGCTTGTAGTTTGCCTGGTATGATCACATGCCCAGTCCCATTGAATAAATGATAGTGACAGTTCTAGCTGGCAGCCAGTTTCTCGGTCTTCCTCAATGTGCTGTGGACCATCTGCGCGTGTGACTGCGTGTTCCTTCTCCTCTGAGGCAATAGTCTGCTGCAAGCTGCTCATGTTCCTCTCCGTGCTGTTACTCATCGGCAGATGTCTGTCGGAGCGCCCACCAGTTAACCGAAGATAGCTGCGATCTGGAGGAGAACAGCAGGAAGAGGAGTCACACTGCTCCGGGAAAGGTCCAGAGGAAAGAATGGGCGCAGGTACTGACTACTTGGATATAATCATTGATTGTGCTTCAAAATTAAATATAAACACCTAAATGTTTTGCTTGTTTGTCATGCATGCAGGATTCTGTCAGGATTCGAACAGAGGAAGGACCAAGTGTGCAGATCTGCCCAGAAAAGCGCTACTCTGAAGATTTCGAGCCCTATGGAAGCATAGACATGGAGGTAGAGTGAGCAATCTCTACTAAGCCTGTGTGCGTGGGTGTTTTCTTTTTAAGGGGAGGGGCTATGTGTCAGATGCAGCTGTCTGTACTACTTAGCATCTCTCCATCTCTGCCATTTCCCCCTTTATCCAATCACCTGGTTCCAAACAGAGCTCCAGTCTGCGCTCACCTCGTAGTCCCCGCTCCCCGAGGGACCCCTGCAAGGTGTCGCGCTCCTTCAGCTCCAGGCATGAGAGCCAAGGAGGGCAAGCGAATCAGGAACACAATGAGAAAGTACTTCTCAACCTTGAGGAAGTGAAGGTGAGCAGAAGAAGAAATATGTCCAGTTTTAATTCATCCTGCCAAGGCGGCATGAGATGCGCTGAATCACCTTGATTTGTTTCATCCTCCTAGGTGTTGATTTATGACGTTTTTTTCAGGCACAAATCAGTGGAAAGCTTAAACTGTCAGCCGGCGTGTGTGTATGATTGTGCCTGTGAGTGCTTACTTTAATGACTGAATGCGTGCATGCATAAACGCTGACCTTTTGTAAACTAGGTGCTGCGCCGGAGCCTGGAGGTTAGCATGAGGCGGAGCAGCCGCGGCTCAGCGGGGGAGGAGTCAGACGAGGAGTGGGTGGAGGAGCAGATCGAGAGGGACGAGAGCACAGAGAGTCTGGATGAACTGGGGCTGCCTCTCTCCTCCTCAAAGTCCTCTTCCAACCCTCGCTCCAGCAGCTCCCACAGAGACTTTGACTCAGCAAACCTCATTGTCCTCGACTTTGGACCCTCAACTCAAGGTAGGCTTTAGCATCCGTTCATATGTAAATGAGTTATTGATTTTAAGAGTGGTTCCATCTCCCCCATATCTGCCTCATCAGCACTGACCTGTACACATGAAGAACGGGCAAATGTATTAGCTGCACAATTTAAATGTTGTTTTAGCTATCCCATGACTCTTTTATTTTGCTTACAAACTCACTTTATCACAACAAATTACTCACACAAGCAATTGTCCTCAGTTTTATCTTGTGTGTTATTTCAGGTCGTAAGATTGAACGCTCTCTGTCTGCAAAGAGAAGAGAAAACACTGACGCCTTTGTACCCACCAAGCCTATGTTGGTGAAGAGCAAAACATTAGATAGGCCGCCTTCCAAAGACAGCTGGGATTGTCAGAGTAAGTCTTTTACAAATAGATGAATGTTTATCAAGCTATTACATTTAAACTATAAAGTCAATAAACTCACTCATATATATGTCTGTACAGTAGATAGATCTGTTAGCTAGCATGGTTCTTTATTTATAAGACTCTAAGTATAAGTATATAGTATATAAGTCTAGACTCTAGACTTTATTATGGCTCCTTGCTTCAGGGCCAAGGAGTCGGGTGGAGAGGCCCCTGTCAGCCGCCAGAAAGGCTTCTGTGGAGGAGCGGGACCCGGAGGAGATGGCATGCAGGGTGCGCCAGGCCATCCAGAGAGAAAACGACCCCCTGCAGAGTCTGGAGCTCTTCAGCCGCAACACGGTCTGCCCGCCCCACACTGCGTATCCCACCTGTACTCTGTTCAAACTCATTGTTCTTTCTTTGGATGTATGATATAGGATAAATAACTGTGATTATTTTGACTTCAATTGAAAATGATACACGCTATTGAAGGGATTTGATCATTCCTTAATCATTATTTTCATTATAATTGAAATAAATATAAATATGATCATGGTGGGATTTTTTTTTTTTAAAGATCTGTAAAAACCATATCATTTCTTTAAGTACGCTGACACAAAGATGTAGGCTAGGGCATGAATGCAGCAACACAATACTTCATAAAAAAATACATTTACCTATATTTTGATATTAAATGTTGTTTATTTGTGCAGCCATAGTTAACAGATGTTTTCATTCCAATCCAGATATTTATTTTGAATTTCCAACAATAACAGCACATGTGTTGAATGTTATTTGAATATAGTGTCACAGATTTGACATGTAACCTCTGCCCTTAAAGCTTATCTATGTTCTTTTTGCTTCCTCTTCATCCAGGGCCGGGGACACCAGCTGACGAATGACTTAGCGCACAACGACAAAGATGAGAACAGTGTCAGTGTGGCCATGCAGAGAATCACGCTCATGGGCCACGGGTAAGCACACAAAATATGGCACCTCTATACAGATACTGTTGTGTAGATATATCAGGCTTATAAGTGATAAAAGGACACTTTGTACTTGTGGTACATCCTTTAGTGTCAGGAAAAGCATAACAGTGTTTTATAGAAACTAATACACGCTGAAATTGATGGTGTTAATACTCTCTGACCTTGAGGAAGTATTTATTAGTGTAGCGACCTCAGTGCTCAGCCATCCCTCACCTTTCACATGAAGGGTAGCCACCATAGACAAACCTGCAGAGCTGAGTGTAAAGGAATATTTTAGTCTGATGCTTAGCTGACCTGAGAAACTTCACGAGTGACTACTCTTTCTCTGTGTGGGGGAGGGGTACTGCCCGCTCAGACAGAGTTTCTTTGTCTGTTCATCTGTAATCGATTAGGGGAAAAGGCGGGCTGTTTGGACCCCTCCTTTAAAAGATATATAGAGATGTTTCTGTCTTTTGTGTTTAGAGTTAATTTTGGCAGCTTGCATGGAACAGTGCGAGTTGCTTTGTTAATCCTCCGGCCGTTTGTCTCTCAATAAATATCAGTGTATTGACAGGCGAATCCAGTTTCACTCATTTCATGATTGGCTCAACATTGCTGCAAAGAAGTTTTTACTTCACACTGAGGATGTAATCTTTTTGTTCAGGGAACAACAGAAACTGCTGAAAGCCTTGGAAAATCTTGAAGCAGGACCCAGCGACAACATTCCTCCGAGTCTCAAAACAGACCCTAACAAGCAACTGGTGAGTCAGTCGCATCGTCTCGCAGTGAATAATCCCAACACTGCTGGGTGTGATGGAGACATTAGTGTACAGGAGCCCTTGTGAATGTTCTGTGCTTTTCATCCCAGACAAGGCTGTCCTCGACGGAGGTCGCCCCTGCATTGTATGTTACCATGGAGATCCTATCAAACTGGGGGAGCGCGCTGCAGGTCGGGCTGACTGAGCTGCAGTTCTTCTGCCTCAGAAACAAGAAGCTCTATGTGTCTCCTCACGACCTCGACATCAGGAACGCTGACTACCCCGGGAATCTGGGGGCGCTCGTTAACGGAAAGGTCAAGGTGAGCGTGTGCTCCTTCTGCCACCGTCATCACAAATGCTAATTATCCGTCAAAAAAAGACAGTAGACCATTTGACGGCAACATATATATCTTTGCTATATCCTGGGACAGATACCCTGTAAACAAATCTGGGTCATCTGCCTCTTAATTGATTTGAACCAGCCCAAAAGGCAAAACAACCAATCAGAGCTCCAGAGACTCTAACTCAGTGTCTATTTCTCATCTCAAATCATTTCATAAACATATATTAGTGTAATTCTTAGCTGTAGAATATAAGAGTTTGCTTGAGCCATTGGCAGAGCTTGGTTTTGTCTCAACTGTTTTCAACACAATCACAAACCATATTATTTAAACGGCTCAACAGTACCCTAAAATATATTTCTGAAAACATTTGAGGCAGAAAATGGACAAAGCAGAAAACAAAATCTTCATTCATATTTAATCAGCGCGGCCTAGTTGGACAGTTTGAGCTGAATCCACCAGCAGTAAGCACGCCGAGTCTCCTCGCCTCTGATTGGTTGTTTCCATTCGGCAACAGTGAAATCTCTCAAATGCCTTTAAAGCAGTGGGGGGGGGTGGCAGAGGAACCAGATGTTGTCATAGATTATCTGTGTCATGCATTACTACCAGGATATAGTTACAGCAAATATGTTATTTGTCTTAAAGTTAGCATCTACCATTTGAACTATGGCTTGGTTCCAGTAGGCCTTCTCACTAAACAAGCACGCACAATTATATGGCTCTGAAACTTTGACAGCTAAATGGGATGCAGCCCACATTTTACACCTGCCTTTTTTGTAAAATACTTATTATTTACCAGTTTCAGGTTAAGACATTTTGCTTATTTTTGTCTCTTCCTCTGGTTTGACAGACCACCAAAGAGCGTCACATGTGGATGTGTCCGTTCCACCCCCCCATCCAGCTCTACTTCGTCATCAGGAACACGGAGCGCTCCCCAGACTTTGGAATATCTCGCATCAAAATCTGGAACTACAACAAAAGCCTCAATGTATGTGCTTTTGATTTTTGTGTCATGACAGCTTCTGATTTATCCCCCTTTGAGTTTGGAGATTATTCACTTATTATGCACTAAAGCTCATAAACACAACATGCCTGTGTGTTGTCACTATAATACGGGCGGCTGTATTGGCGTGGTGCCGTCATGGGGAGGGTTTCTCTTTAATGATTGGCCGGCTGAGCTGCCAGTCAGACTGTCCAAATGTGGAACAGAGAGAGATTAGCCCCAGAGGATTAGTGTTGGGGAGTCGCAGGCTTTCTGCCTCTCACTGCTGATCATAGAGGGGTGCAAAGACCCCATCTTATCTCTATGTTACTTCAACTTGATATTGTTACTTGAACCTGGAAGGTAAGGAGCAGCTAGTGGGGAACAGGTTCTATGTTTACCCGTGTTATGCTAGTTTACTATCTGTAGGAGTAAGCAGATTCTAATTGGGCTTTAGCCATGACTTGTGTCTGTGAGAGCGCTAATTACTGCTAGCTTGGAGAGTTCTTACTGCATGCGATCAGTAAATTGATCAATAGGGAATGTTTGAAATTTCACAAGAGCTCTACTTTTTTGGATGTTGTGCTTTTGGGTTTGCAGCTTTTGTTGCACTCAAAATATAACATGAGATCTTTCTAGTTATATTTTGTAATGCTAAACATTTGCAGTTAATATTAATGAACCTGACTGTATGTTGTGTTCAATTGAAGTTCTGTTTCTTCTGCAGGATCTTGACATTGGTGCCCGCCATATAAAGCTGTACCTCAACAGCACGTTGGTGTTTGAAGGAGAGCTGGAGAAGGGCTGCGCTAACCAGGTATTTGACTACAGCACCACCGTTGACCTCCAGGATTTCCAGGTTTCGGACTCCGTGTTCTCCAGCCCTGTGTCTTCAGGACACAACCTGCGGGGTGCCAGCCCCCAGCGCCATGAAGACAGGAAGGGTGGGGATGGCAGCAGCACCCAAAACCACCACAGTTGGAATCCACAGCCATCAGACGCAGGTATCCACGCTATGTTAGACATGCAGGAGAAACCACACCCTCTGCTGCCCCCCATCGCTCCACCTGTTGGGGTTTCACCCTCCGCTCATCGCTCCTCCACACAAAGAAACTCTTTTGATCTGTCCGCCCCAGAGGAGCCCGCCTGCACCCATGGAGCAGACGGTCACCACCCAGCCGTCCTCCTCCAGGGTGGCCCCCCAGTGGCTGCAGCCGCTGAACAGAGGAGCTCCAGAAGGCTGCGAGGCCAGCAGAGAAAGGCCCCGATGGCTGGTGCCGCAAAACTCCGTGGAGCCCAAATCTCCGACAGCCTCATCCTCCTCACTGCTCCCGGAGCTGCCGTGCAACCCGGGGCGAGTGTGCAGGGGGTCGGAGAGGACGTCGAACGGGGCTCAGTGGAAAGGAGACTCTTTGGATCTGAGCTGCGACCTGCTGGAGGAGCTGGCTGAGCAAGCGGCAGACAAACCTGTCAGCGGACGCAGGAGCTCATTCAGAAACACTGCAGCCACTGGCAGGCAGACGGAGGAGCAGCAGCTCAGAGCTACAGCACTGTCAAACACTGGTAGGAAGGTTTTCAAATGATGATACACAAAGGGACACATTTGAACTAATAAGGCTATCACACCTCTGCAAATTAATATTCTCTTCATAATGATAACACAATTTGCAAACAAGGAATCAGAAAAGAGACTGATCAAATATCATGTTGGGACTATTTTAAGTCCCTGGAAGCACATGTGTAGCACCATGTGACGACTGTCATTTGATTGGTTGATAAATGACAAGGGCCTGTAGTGATATTAGTTTGCCAGAGGCCCCACACTTCACCAAACTGAGTAGAGGTCTTTTTGTACTGGCATTTGTGCCGGGTAATGATTGCCTAACCCTTCTGCAGATTTACTTTTGTTATGTTATTCTTTAAATGATCAAGTTGTTTGTTATGAAATGTTGAAAAAACTGGGACGAGAAAATGTAAATACGACTACATTAAATGAACTATTACAATTAAAGGTTTACACAGGTACTCGCACTTCTCAGGGATCCTGTACTTGTATGTTTTTCTTTCTTTCTCTTTAAACACATGTTAAAATAGTATTATTTGAAATGTATTAAATGAACAACTAGGACATGTTTAGTGTTTGGCATATTTGATGATGTGAAGTCATCAGTCATAATTTCCTGTGGCCTGGTTACTAATGAAAGATCTGTGTGTATTCTCCAGAGGAGCCGATGCCATTGAGCTCTCGCAGGAGGCCGTGCTCCTCTCTGCTGCACAGCCAGCAGGACGACACCCTCAGGGAGTCCTGGGACTCTCTCACCAAGTTCAAACAATGCCAACGCGGACGCATCTCCAACATGGGCTTTGAGGGCGACATCTTCGACGAGTTCCTCCAGCGCCAGGGACGCGGTCCCCCCACACTCCCAGTAAGCCCCTCCACAGCCCCCAGGAGCCCTCGGTCCCCCTTCACCCTTCAGGGGGCAATGTGTGAGGGCCCTGATGATGATCTGAGCATGGAGAGGGAGGAGGAGTTTGAGATCCCGGTGCTGCCACAGGGCTCCAGGCTGGTCATCAACATCCTCTCCACCTGGGGGGATCGCCACTACGTGGGCCTCAACAGCCTGGAGGTGTTCAGTTCCAGCGGGGAACCTCTACGCCCGGCTCACATCCGCGCTGACCCCCCAGACATCAACATTCTGCCCGCATACGGCAAAGATCCACGCGTGGTCACTAACCTGATCGACGGAGTAAATCGCACACAGGATGACATGCATCTCTGGCTGGCGCCCTTCACCCCCGGTCGAAGCCACACCATCATCCTGGACTTCGGAGCGCCGTACCAGGTGGCCATGATCCGAGTGTGGAACTACAACAAGTCACGCATTCACTCCTTCAGAGGGGTGAAGGAGGTGGAAATGCTGCTGGATGGAAGGTGCATCTTCAGGGGAGAGATCGCAAAGGCCTCTGGGACGCTGTCTGGAGGTAGCTCAACAGAAAGGCCTTTCATTTTTGTAATGTTCTTTGTGTGGTAATTAAAAATGTAGAGTTGACATTTTAAAATGTCTCGGTAAAAAGAAAGTTTGTCTCCTATCAAATGAGTAAAAATACACATAGACAGGAGAAAAACGTACACACTTCTGGTACTGGTTAATCTTGCTCTATCCAATGACTGCGATGTCAGCATTACTTTTAAATTCAACCCCACTTGTTTCAACAAATAAATCCAATGTTAATGTAATTATTATATATGATAACACTGGTGTTAAACATCATTAGATTTGGAGAAGAGATCATTATGACTTGTTTAGGACATAATAAATTGGGATTTTGGACTGGAGTACGAAAACGTGACTTTGCAAAACAATGACTTGATCCGGCTTCTGGTGTTACTTTTGATCAACTTTTCCTTCTTTCTCACTCCGCTGTCACCTCAGAGTTGGACCAGTTTGGTGACACCATCCTCTTCACCACTGACGATGAGATCCTGGAGGCGATGTCTCGTTATGATGAAACCTTCCTGAGTGAGGGCGAGGGTCCTGAGAGCCTGGTTTCTGAGGAGGAGCTGCAGAGACCCCGCACCGCTGACGGAGAGGGAGAGGAAAGACCCTTCACACAGGCCGGCTTCAGAGAGGAAGACCTCAAAGTAAGGAGATGCTTTATCAACAGAGGGAACAGGATTTTGTAGAAGTACTCAGTGTTTTCCTATTAACTTGACTATTGTTAAACTATTGATTCCCTATAATGTCAGAGCGATAACTAATCAAAGACTCAAAAACATCCCACATATCTTATTCTCTGTCTTAGTTGAAGCTCCACCTCAACCCCACTGTGAGACAGTCTGAGGAGAACATGGATCATATTTTTGGGATGTACACGGGAAAGTGTGAGTAGATGATACGATATACTTTATTGTCTCCGTAAGGAAATTTGTTCTGGACTCCGTCCTGCAGTTCCGTATACAAACATAATAAACACTCAAATACACATATCATCACTCATGCACCGTTTGCACAAACACAATACACAGACGCACATACTGACAAGTGCGACCTATTGCACAAGCCTCATTGCCAACATTTAAAAGTATATTACATTACATGTGAGTGTTAAGAGGCTTAATGGACACAGCTGGAATTCTGAGTGGAGTAATAATGGACTGCTCATATATGTTTTGGAGAGATGGATGTTTTTTGACCCCCATCATTTCCATAGCAGTCTGTACCAGGCGAGCGATCTGTGACTTTGACTGCACTGTCAAGTTACCATACCAGGCAGTGATACCATATCTTATGATGCTCTCCAACACTGCATGATAAAACAAATGATCAGCATCACATGATCAGCTCTTTGTTGTATGGATACTTATATAAGCTCTCTCCCTCCACCCCAGGCCTTAGACTGGAGCTGGTGATGACCTGGGGGGACTCGCACTACATGGGGCTGACAGGCCTGGAGGTGGTGGGGCAGGATGGAGAGGGTCTACCTCTAGACCTCAGTATGATGGCCGCCTCACCCCGGGACCTCAACGACCTGCCGGATTACGAGAATGACCTGCGCACGCTTGATAAGTACGGCCGACACGATATGCAGAGAATGTTGAATGACATTTGACACTTTATTCATATACACAGCAGTAGAAGCTGTAGTCAAATACATGTTTTTAATGAATTATCCTTCTAGTTTTTTGTAGAAAGTCAGATTTATTGATTTCAATTTCATTCTATTAATTATACTTGGCACCATACTGTACAATAACATTGTTGATTTGTTGAACTTGCAGGTGTTACACATTGCAAGCTGTCTGTGCACACGTGTGTAAATGTGTCTGTTTTCGTTACCCAGGCTTATAAATGGCCACAACATTACGACTGATGACCAGCACATGTGGCTGATCCCTTTCTCCTATGGAGAGCCGCACACCCTGAACATAACGTTCAACAAGACCCAGACCATCGCTGGACTCCGAATCTGGAACTACAACAAGTCCCCTGAGGACTCCTACAGAGGGGTGAGACACTCACACTGTTTGCTATTATATATATTATATACAAAAAAATGCAATTTCTCTTTAAATAATGAGTGAACTGTATATATATAACAATATAATACTGCACACAATAAACTGAAGCAACTAATCTATATGGTTAATTACAGTCCTTCAGGTGGAGCCAGAGATCTTTTTTTTCCGGAGCGATGTATTCATTATAGTTGTATTAGTAGAAATGTTATATTCAAGAGATTTCAAGGAACACACAACACATAAAAAATGTCCCTGTCTTTGGTTCAGTTGAAGATGATCCATGTGTTTATGGATGAAGTTGCCGTCTCTCCATCGGAGGGCTTCCTGATCAGGAAAGGTCCTGGAAACTGTCACTTTGACTTCGCCCAGGAGCTGCTCTTCGTAGATTTCCTCCAGACGCCCACCGACAACAAGAGTGCAGAGGACTACCACAGGTACGAGACATTCATTTAGTTTGCATTTATTGACGAAGCTTGAAAGCTGCATTTCCTAATTTACAATGTTGTTGTCTCTAATTCAGAGGAAGCTCTAAGAAACAGGAACTGGCCAGCATGGACTATGAAGCTCCCATCATGCCTTGTGGATGTATCCTAACATGATTTCCCGCTGTGTGCATTGTCAGTCAAATATTTGGATTAGACAGTCGTTAGTTTGCAAATTAAAACATTTGATTTGTTAGGCCACGCCATATTAATCAAACTTGATTAGAGCATTTGATCTACAAGCTGTAGATTGATGTTGTAAATTGATTGATTAATTGGATTTATAAAATGTCAGAATAATGTACTTTAAGATTACCCTTTGGATTTGGACTGTCAGTCTGATTAATGTCAAATAAAGGATCAGTTCTGATGTTCTTTACAGGTGAGGACTGTCAAAGGACTTAAACAAAAATACACTCATTAGTTTACTACATAGTGAGCAGTACATTGGGATTTCTGAGACTTATTGGTGTATTAGTGATAATGGGGTTGATATTTTCAAACCCTCAGATGAAATATTGCAGGGTAAATATAGTGTAGTGATGAATGATTTTGGACACTGCTCAGGATGAGTTCTGTACATGGGGTTTCATGTTGTTTATTCCTTGACCTTCACCCGTCAGTCATCTTTCAGCTGCAGCTGCTGACCACCTGGGGAGACCCGTACTACATCGGCCTCAACGGCCTCGAATTTTATGACCAGAACCACGAGAAGATCCGTCTCAGTGACAACAGTATCCTTTCTCATCAGTTCGACCTTCATACATCGATATATAATCCTTTATCTTTTGCACAGTTAGGAAATGGTAGTGTAAATCCACAAATACTGGGTTTAGATGGCCTAAAGTCACACATGTACAAATATTCAACTCTGTCTAAAGGTATTAATTTTAAAACCTAACCTGATGCAATAACTGCTACACTATCAACCAATTGTATTAGATGGACGCATACACGTAGTTGGTAAATCATTAATAGTTTCTGCAGGAGTATTAATGTGTCTGCTCCTCAACATTATCCCTCCCAGACATCGCTGCTTTTCCAGACAGTGTGAATGTGCTGGACAATGTGAGCGGTGATGTGAGGACTCCAGATAAATTAATAGACGGAGTCAACAGTACCCACGATGGAAGATACATGTGGTTAGCCCCGGTGCTCCCTGGACTGGTGAGCATTTCAGACAGAGTGCCTTCACTTCACACACTCAGAGCAGAGTGCATCGTAAGTGTATCGATTGTTTCCTCATAGGTGAACCGCGTGTACGTCATCTTCGATCAGCCGGTGACGGTGTCCATGATCAAACTGCAGAACTACTCAAAGACGCCACAAAGGGGAGTGAAGGAGTTTGGGGTAAGCCTCTTTTTTCTGCTTTGACCTAGAAAAACATTTACATTCAATCTCAATCTTTATTTATTTATATAGCACATTTAAAACAACCTTCAGTTGACCAAAGTGCTGTACAGGCAGTAACTACAATATTAAATAACACAATGGGAGTACAATAATAAAACAATAATAAAAAACATAATAAAAAGCACAATAACTAGAAACATATACAAAAACAAAACAAAACAAAAAAACACACAAATATAAAAATGTAATGTTCAACTAGTATTAAAAGCCAGTGCAAAGAGGTGAGTTTTTAGCTGGGATTTAAAAAGTTCACATTCAAACTTCAAGCAACAATCTGTCTCTGTGTACAGCTGCTGGTGGACGACCTCCTGGTGTATAACGGCATCTTGGACTGTGTTAGCCACGTGGCTCGAGGCATTCTGCCCACCTGTGACCCCGTGGTGCCGTACCACACCATCCTCTTCACCGACAACGCCTACATCGCACACCGCGAGAGGAACACTGTCATCAGGTACCCTGGATATTTAGGATGTAGATATATTATTGAATATCGGTCGTACAATTTCCTTTTACGAAAACATACCGAATCTTTATTCTGGCTAACAATTTTGAGAGGCTGAACAAAGCTTTTCCTGTCTTTTTTTGCATGAGAAATTACTTTTACAATTAATTTATTTTCCTCCGCCACAGGCTAGCCTATACAGAAACAAACAACCTATCTTTACAGAAAGACAAGGTTACTTGAATGCATCTTTTTGATAGACAAAGAAAACTTGTTTCTGTTATCTGTCTCGTCCTCTGACCAAAGGTTTAACATGTTCGATACACACTATGTGTAGATATATACTAAATTGAGAAAGAAGGTTGGATCAAACCTCATTCTCCTGAGCGGTGAGTTGTTTTGAACACAGGTGTGCTCTTCTCCACTCCAGCCCCCGCGGCGGCAGACACCTCCAACAGTGAGTAACAGTCTGTGAACGCCCCGTGTCAGCACCTCCCTGTGGTCAACCCCTGTATTAAAGAATGCCCCAGTTCCCTCAAACGTCCCCCAGTCATGCCACACCTTCCTTACCACACACCCAAGTTGTGATGCCTCTGCCCCCCCCCCCCTTCTCTCTCCTCTGTTACGTATCCTTGGTCTCAAGGCCTGGACCTGCTGGCTTCAAGCTTTGTTATCAGTCAGATCTCCATGTTGTGTAATTCCTGTTTTTCCACTAGCGCAGCAAATTAGCTAACTTGTATCCGCTGTGTCTTCGTTTTCTCTCTGTTTTGCAGTAATTACGTGGAGGACCAGGATGTGAAGATGACCAATGAGAATCACATAGTCCATCATAACAAGAAGAAGCAGACAGCAGATCCAGGTGGGTCAGGGAAACTATTTAAATAGCCTATTTTTTTAATGTAATAATTATTAAATCAAATATATTTGTTCTACCTCAATGCAGCTCTTCGGCCTAAAACCTGCATGACTGACGGTGGGAAACACGGAAAGAGGAGGTACTGACAGACAAAAAAACAGACTGATGTGGATTCACTGCTCAAACAAAGAAAACTGAATTAAACAGGAGGAACTATGGCTGACTTTTAAGCTCGCTTTTTGGTGGGTCACTTGAAAACTTTCTTAACTTTAACACCGAAAGCAGCCACGGTTTGTTATGGCGACTTCAAAGTGTCTCACGTAGTCCTCACTGAAGAGATACCAATGGGTTTGCTCACACACGCACGCACACATGCACACACATGCACACACACACTAGATTCCACTTTATGGTTGGATCGCTCTCCTCTCCCCCTACACTTGTTATTCTGAACACGTACTGTATTGTTGCCCCCCCCCCACAGTGCCAGGATGAACCTATAAGGCTGTTTTTTTTTATCAGCCCTATTATTGTGCCTCGTACTAAACACTATATCTGTGGCTGCTACTTGTGACTCTTGTGCTGCATATTTAAATGCTGCTCGTGGCGTGAAAATACCTTATTAAAAAAGAAATAGCTCCAAGGCCACGTGAAAACACTATCAGGATATGGCCAATGCTACGGTTTTATGTGAATAGAGTGGTGCAGGAATGAGTCCTAAAATCTGGTAATAAGTTAGCATTTGACCACTTCCGGTTCCCTTGTCTTAAACTCAATGTTTTTGGTTAGATGCCTGAAATAAGTTCCGTGGTAACACCCATTTAAGGTTTTTTAATATGTTCTTAAACCTGATATACATCAGTAAACGCACCACTTGTGAATTGTCATACTAGAATGTGAATAACTGAGATTAGTATACGTCACGTCGGTCGAACACGAGACTATTCATTTTGCTTCAAAAATTAAGTACCATAAAAGTGTGTTTGCCACAGAGCTTATTTACTACAATATTCAGAAATCAGAAAATAGATTTTTGTCAATGGAAACCTTACGATATGCGATGCTAACTTTCTTGTCGGCCCACAAAAACACGTCATCACTGCACCGCTCTATTGTGTTCACTGGTGATGATCTTTAAAAACTAGCTAACACTCCCAGCAGTTCACAAACCAATGCTATGCAGAAGCTAATTTATATCTATTAACAGTTTATATCTGTCGGCTACTATATTTCAAAGCCTAACAGTAATACTTGGGGAAGTGCTTCGACTGAGCTTTTCACCTTTTTAAAAAGATTTATATCGAAGGCTGAAGTAGTTAGTTGAAATCAGTACAGTGGTCCGATTTTTGTACAGTTCAACTTGAAGCTGTCCACACTTGAATCTTCGATATACATTTGGCTTTACAAAATTAGGGTCAGTCTATATTTTTCTGCTTTGCGTCAGGTAGAAAAACTTGTTTGCAATCCAAGTGACCTTTATCCAAGTTGCTCTTTAAGGTAGATGTTATGGAGGCAAACATTTCATGAACCAGTAAAAGTCATTTAGTTCGAAAAAAATCTACATTTGCCATTTAAATTTCAAGTAGAGTCAGTAACAGGCAACTTCTAATATGCAAATACTATAAACTTACCTCAAATTGAGAAGGTTAATGTTCAAAAAGGGATTCATCTGATTCTACCTTCACTATAATACTTAATAGTTGGTGTCGTACATTCATTATTCAATATTTACTGTTCTAACTTGTTGCATGGGAGAGTCTCTTCAGCATTAGCCGTTGTTATCATCTTAAAATGTTAGACATTTGTGTTTGGAGGAGTTTCTACTGCTTCATTGAGCCCCAATGTATATCAACTATTTTATACTCCTCACTCATGATGGGAGTAATTGTATATGAAATGCAGTTTTATGTATTTAATTTCCGCGTGTCCTACAGCAACAATGGTCACCACTCTGTGTCTGCTCTGTAGGGTGGTGGCTGTTATTGTATGTGTGGCATTTAGTGTTTTGAAATATTTAATTATTTTTCTAATATTGATTACATATGTATATTTGATGTAGGTTTATTTGAAATGAATAAAATGTAAGCAAATATCTGGAAAAGACCTCGTCCTGACTTTACCCCACACTGTTCTGAATGATTTATTAAAAACACAGAGGACAACGGAGCTTCATAAATATCTCCTGTGATATTTTAATGCAGAATCAGCTGTATGTCTCATGGTATTTGTCAGGAATGACCATTCAGTTACAGGACAGAACATCAGTATTGGAAAGGTGGTGATGGAGCCACATGGCGTCGCACCACTTGATACAAACATTTAGCTGAATAGTTTACATCTCAGCAGACAGCTTTGGAAATGGCAGGTTTAGATTTTTCCTGGAAAGTTCCCTTCCTCTCTCTGGTCGTCCCATTTCTGGACCTAAAGGGGAAACATTTCAGAAAGATTGAGATATAAATGTTAACTTTTAGAATTACAAATGTTCAGAAAATTATAGAAATCCTTCGCTGGGTCATGATAAACTTAGTATTCAATATCGGTGAAATAAAAAGCAAAGCACCTGCTGTTACATCACTGATCGGGTGTAGGTAAGTAACGTTTACTTACTAAAGCAACTTTCGTGGTAGGCTACTGGACGAAAAGTAAAAGTTATAACAACTAGGGATGCTCTGATCGATCGCCGCCGATCTTTATCGGCCGGTATTCACTCTCGGCCGATCGATCGGTGCTCTCTATAAAGGCCGATCGATCGGTGCTCTCTATAAAGGCCGATCAGGAGAGCCGATCACATGACGTAAAATACATGACACTTTTCTCTGTGCGCGGCAAAACAAGCTCGTCAAAATGGCTTCACCACCAGTCTGGCAGTATTTTAAGGTGTCCGAAAAAGACAATAAAATAGCGGTATGCAAAGTGTGTGAAGTAAGACATCCTGCAGCTTCGCCCCCGATGTGCGGACGCGGTGAGCGGGCAAAACACACACTACAGTTAATCTAACACACGTAGCTATTTATTTGTATCTACCTCTGGAAAACTAACTAGTTAGATTATATTTTTATTCTTTCACTGTCGGGTCACTCATTATACTGGATCAGAAGATCTGTGCAATGAGATACTGATCAGCTGTCGAGAGGGAGAGTAGAAGATGAGCAAGAGTTGAGAGCGAGAGAGAGAGAGAGTGGCGAGAGCGAGAGAGAGAGAGATCCTTCTCGCATCTAGCAGAGCTCGAGCGCGATAGATAAGCAGCCGATCTCAAGTGATCTCTCTCTCTCTCTCGATCTCTCTCCTCATCTCTCTCTCTCTCTCTCTCTCTCTCTCTCTATCTCTCTCTCTCTCTCTCTCTCTCTCTCTCTCTCTCGCTCTCTCTTCTCCTCTCTCTAACTCTTCTCTGACTCTAATATCTCTCTCCTTCCTTTCTCATTATCCCTTTTATTCTCCAAAGTTAATGTAACTTGAATAATGTACTTCATTTGAATGTAATAATTATGTTGGTTGTTGTTTGTAGAAGCGCATCATGTATTGAAAAATGAATCTGAACTCTTCGATCCGTTACGATTATAAACTGAAGCAATATAAAAATGAGCCCCATTAACTGAGTTTGCAACTACCATTGCAACTGAAAAAAACCTACAAAAAAAACCTAAAAGGCATGAAAATGTCAGCCTATTCAAATAAATGCAACTGTTATACTCTTGTATAAAGAGGACATTAAACTACAAGTAATGTCCTATGTTTTGTAAATAATTTACATTTAATATTGATTTTGTGTTAATTTTGTGATTTGAATATGTGATGTTAACACTCGTTCAATATATATATATATTTTTTTCAACTAAAAAACAAGGAAGACGTTATTTTTTGGAATGGGATATAAATAAGTTTAACCTCCCTGCTTTTTATTGGGCTGAGAGTTAATTATAAAGGGGAATTTCCATTTTTGGACTGACACTTTGTTTTGATTCTCAGGGCCGAGCGGACTAACAGGAATGTGAGCAACGATAAAGTTGTTTGACCTCTGCTAAACAAACTCGGCCCACACAAGAGAAAGTATATTCTGCCATCACTTTTTAACTTGCCTGTGACCTTTTGGGAGAGCGGTTTCCACATACGACAAAAAGTGAATGCAAAAAAATCAAAGTTTTACCCAGGATATGGGGCAGATTGATGTGAAGACCCTCTTGTACCAGTCACAGGGCGCGGTGTCCACTCCTTTAGCGTCTAGAGCTTTCTGGCAGCGGTAGAAGTCTATAAATAGAGAAACGACAATAATGAAATTCAAAAACAGCAACATGGCCTCAATCCAAGTCACAAAACAAAGGGTCATGTCAGTTCACCAAAAAAAACTGGGTTACTTCAAGAGAGGTCAGAGGCCATTTATTAACCTGACTTCAAATATACACCATTAATCAAAGCAACAATAATATACATATTTTAATATCTGACCCAGAATGCCCTCATGGTTTCACAGTGGATGATATGACCTTGACTCTGACTCTCACCCATAGACTGTATATAAAGGTCTCACCCATAGACTGTATATATAAAGGTCTCACCCAGGTAGTTGGACCAGCAGTTCCTGGTCTGGTTCGAGTTGGGGAACCGGGCATCAAATGGAGCTGTGCGGTAATTCTGAAGTTTTGCTTGAATGTCCTCCTCAGCCATTTCCACCTCTGTTAAGAATATATCATCAATGGATACTGTAAGAGGCAAGAACAAAAAATGCTTATTTTTCTGTCTCTAAGCAAAAAGCTCCTTTCCACCAATTGCACCCATTAAGTAAATTAAACAGACCGACATTAATGCATCTATGGCGGTAGACCAACTGAACACTCCTGGCTTATCAATTCTCTGCAGCTGACTGCAGGCTGAAGGAGGGTTATTTTTGGGAGGGTACGTGAGTTTTCATCTAATACATCTTTCTCAGAGTACATATGCAGCATACAAAATTGAATATATGCGGTCGAACATGCGTCTAATAAAGACAGTATTAAAACGTTGTTGGCGGACATTTTATCAATAACCTTACCAATACCTGCCATTAAAAGCATTTCCTCCTTAGACGATCTAGTTTGTTTCTTTTTGATACAAACAAGGTATGATTTAAAATACTTAAACATGCTATTACAATGGGGAAAAAGCACATTCTAGATATTGGATTAAATCCAAAACTCTTATCGATCATTTCCAGACGAGACCGAATTTCCAGAACTTTCTTGACATAAACATTCTCCCTCAATAAAAGCATAGGCAATTAAAATAGGTTACAAGTGGCATGCGTCTCAATAGATTAAAAAAAAGAATATTTTGTTATATATAGAAAATTCATGCCGGTAGACATTACCTTGGAGCAGTTGCAGGCTCGAGCTCAAAGTGACTTTTATACCGGCTGTGTACGTGTTCCGTGATAAGCGGTGAGGATGCAGCCGTGCAGTCCTCCGCGGCCGGTATGGCGGCCACAGGTCACATAAAACACAGACAGACATAACTCTGACTCTGCTAGTGATGAGAAGGTCCTGACAGGACACCACAGAAGCAGAGTTATTTCAGTGTTTTATTTTAGATTTATCACCAATCTGAGGACTTTTTTTTCCCAATGCGGAAGTACTTTGTTTACAAATGTGTGTTAATCATTAATATATGTTTATCTAAGAAATACAAAATAATTTAGGGATTTTTAATCGGATATGATTGGAGTTGTAGGGAAAGGCTGTTTTGGGTTGTGTTTCTGCTTTTTACATGTATTTATTCATCATAACACGTTAAATGCTGTTTGTGATCTCTGTCTGGAATTACTACTGTCAGGTCAAGTGGGGGCAGCAGTGATAGCATACTGTTTATGAGTCATATAGCCTATCATATGTATTACCAGGGGGATATTCATTATTAATACCTTATTACTGTGTTTAAACGCACTGTCTTATCTAATTTCAGGAGGAGTGAGTGTCCTTTATACAACTTGTTAGAACAACAAGGCAATTCAAAGTGCTTTAAACGGAGCATTAAGACACACAAAAATGTATTTACACACAATTAAACAATCATTAAAACGCGTGTTATCCTCATGTTGCTTGCTCTTGTGCCGTGCGTCTTTTTCATCCCAAAAGTCACTAGTTGTCTGTTTGTAAGTCTCAGATCTGGTTACTATAAAACAAGCAGCGACATTCCCCACATTATTGCACGAAGGCGTAAAGCACCGTGCGTCATGCTGAATAAGCCACGCGCTGATTTTATTTAGGGAAACAGTGCTGAACGCGCCTGTGACACGTGACTGACTTGAACACAGCCATGGACTGTGAACAGACATGGAACAGACGCAACTCTGCCTAGTCAATTCATTTATAGACACTAGAGGGCAGCAACGCTATGCTTTTATATCATTTATTCGGACCTTAGGACATTTTTAATGTATGCGGTAACTCAGGTAATCACTTTATGGTTTCCAGTATCTGAAATAAATAAAGTACATTTACTCAAGAACTGTACTTAAGTACACATTTGAGGTTATATTTGTATTCGACTACATTAGGATGCTGATATTGTACTTTTAAGTGCACTACATTGATCTGACATCTATTATTTACTGTATATTCAGGTTATTAGCTAATACAAACTATAAATCTACTAGTAAATAAACTAATATATATTAGCATAGGTTAAGATATCCAGCAGCACTCAAAGAGATTACAACACAATACATTATCTTTTCCTATAGTGAATACAGGTCAAATAAATAATTTGTCCTTTATTAAATCCACTATTTTGATTTACCATACCCTCCTATAAGACATATTTCAGATGAACAAAAGCACTTAATTTAAAAGTGTTTAATATTACTGCTCAAATTTCAACATATCAAGACAGAAAGAAAAGTCGAAAAAGGCCCAAAGTATCAACATATCTTTGTACAGCAAACAAATATTTGTACTAATATAAATCTTTGAGAGAGGCACACTTAAACAGCCTAAAAGAAACAAAAAACCCACAGCAGTAACTCATTATTTCAAAGAACATCTGAGCCTCAGCCTTGAGTGTCTCACAGGTTTAGTGCATGTGCGTTAAAGAGCATTATCTGTTACAGCATCTTGGATTGAG